TAACATCAATTGAAAAATATCAAGACATGAAAAACATGGGGACACATCACAACATATTCACATGCGCTGTGGCTGTTCTTCTCCATGACATATGTTGCGGAGTAAGTGCCATGCGTCAAGGCGTGTTTTACATATTGGATAGCATTTTACTATCAAATGACATAAACTTATGGCAACTTTTGACGTACCCTACTTCTCCATTCAATATTTATTTGGGGTGATTTAGGTGTTTATGAAAAACTCTTTTTATAAACTAATTAGTGGCATAGGTTTTACTTTCAAATTAGGTCATACAAGGAAGATGGATATCCGAATATATTTTCAAACTTTTCCACAATTTTCACAATTTAAAGGTGTTCAAAACCCTACACATGTGTCAAAAATTATTTATAACACCTAGAACATACTCAATAAACTTAGGACTACCTATACAACGCACTACACACACATAATTTCACTCATACTAAATTTTCACTCATCAACCCTTTTAATACCAAAAATAATAGGGAGAGGTTTTAGTATTGCATAAATCAATCATTGTCAATTCCAACAGTATGACAATAGTTCTTAAACTTATACTAGTATTTTGGCCCCATTAACACTTAATAATCTCATAAACAACATTTTAGGGCTCAAAATGCATCCTAAAATTATAAGTAACAACTTAGAACAAGTGTATTCAAATACATTCTAATTGGCAATATACTATCTATTATGTAAAATAAATGAAGTTGTGAGGCATTATAATAGGAATACTTAAATTCCTAAGCCTTAAAGTCTTTTCCCCTTTCACAACAGAGATAGAGCCTATAAAATATTAAAAAAGAGAAGTGAGTATAGCCATTCAATAACCAAAATACATCTACCCTATGCAGTTGCATATCAATTGATTTAAATCACATTAATGGGAGTTGAATATTCAAAAATATGAGATTACACATGACATGAGTTCTACTTTCACAATTAAACTCATTTTCATGTTTCCCACTTTAAATCACAAGTTACATTGCCACAGTACTAACGAACATATGATAATGACCCAATTTACAATCTCAATGCACATTAGCACAGTACAAACAATCATATGACAATGGCACAATAACTATCCCGACTTATCACAAGCTTATCAATCATGTGAGATGTCAAATACACACATATATATGATCAATTTCTCCTTATATCCTTCCTATTTTCTTAACTGAAACCGTGAGCTATAATATTAATAAGGACTCTGTCTGTGTGACTAGATTACTTAAGCTCACTAATTGTAAGGAGTGATTCAACCAAAGATTAATATACTCACTCTCAAACTATAACTTTTCCTATTCCTGAATCTCTAGGGTGTTATATACACAAACTAGTATTCTTGACAAACAAGTAAAGATAATTAGGTTTAAGCCGCTCGACTCTTAACAAACTATGAGATTATTTCTCGATAAATAGTAGAATAAAGCTAGCCTTCGTGCACTAGAAGGCAACTAAAAATATCATATGAATTTTATCTACTACTTTCCCTGGGTAAAACCTGTCGAATGATCATGTAATGTCTCATGCTTACATACATATTTACATAAGCTTGTAATTCACTATAACAAGCTTATTGTTTTAAAAATTATTTCATCAATTGACATATGTGAGCATCATCAATTATCACATATCACATACTCTTTCCACTTTACTTAAGCACAGCTTTCTTCACAACACACACTTATCACATTACATACTGTAAACTCCTCATTCCAACATATTACTATAGTTTGTTCATCTTTTAATGTCAACTCCATGTTTAATCAAAGTACAATCAATACACTTTCTCATGAATCTTGGCATGCACTTACAATCACGATTTCAAACATACATGTAAATAAATCAATTTTCACATTATAACTCAATTAACAATTAGTTACCCAATATAAGTTTCTCTTCAGTTATCTCAAACCTTTGAGAGGTTAAAAATTTACCCCATAATAACTTGCTTCCATGTCAAATATGGTGCCCGGACAATTAATCTATAATTAATCAAGTCCCACCTCATGAATATTACTAAATATACACTCCTAACTCTTATTTTTCATTTTTAAAATACTGAAAATCCTTATTTCTTATATTTAGGCATATCTATTGTGTTTATTAATTCTCTTGAGCTCCCATTAACTTTATAAAATATTTCTAGTGTCATTAATGTCGAGCAACAACCCCAAACATTCACAATTAATGCCCTATTTTCAAACATAAATATGCCTCACCAACCAATAGTGTGTAAAACCATCAATCATCAGTTTAAATACCACAAACAACCTATATTAACTCCATTTAAGTCAAAGGGTTTATACCCATAACCTATATGGATAAAAATCATCTCCCACTTACAAACCCTAACCAAAAACTAGTGTACAGAGGAAATGGAATGATGGGAAGGGCTTACCTTAGCAATTGGGAGCTTCAAACCCTCTCAAATCCTCTACAATATCATCCCTATAAGAGCCCAAACTCTCTCCTTTCCTTCTCTCATTTTTCTCTCATTTCCTCTTTTTATTTTTAATTTTGTTCACGTCTCTTTTCTACAAAAAATAACCCATGCATCATGGTGCATGTCACACATGCCGCAACTTATAGTACAGAGAAAGTCACTTCATGCTTTTTGGTTTTATGTGCCACGACATGTGGCGCAGAGGCTTCTCTCCTTGCTTTTCTTCATCTTTGATGCCCAAGCGGGAAACTTTATTTTTAGCTTAAATTTATGGCTAAAATTACAACCAAGACACTCATTGACCTTCTCTGACCCTACACCTTACAAATCTTACTTAAATTTCCCATAATTAAGTTGATCATTGGGGGGTTTATTTTCAGGATGTCACAACTTACAATAAAAACTTCATACATAACATTTAAAGTTCATTTATTAACAACAAATTTTTTTTTTCATTTCATATAATCCATGTGGTTTATATTTGTTAAATGAGAGAAAATTTACAATTTATCCAAATAAAATGTATAACAAAAAACTTTATAAATAACATTAAAAGTTCATTTGTTTATAACAAAACGTCTATTTATTTTATATGGTCCATGTGCTTTATACTTGTTGAATAAGAGAAAATGTAAAAATTATCCAAATAAAAATTTATAACAAAAATTTTGTAAATAATATTCAAAGTCCATTTATACAACAAAAGGCTCATTTATTTTATATAATTCACGTAGTTTACACTTGTCAGAGAAGAAAAGATTTACAAGTTATGTAAATAAAATTTACAATAAAATATTTGTAAATAACAATCAAAGTTTATTTATTTTTAACAAAATATCTATTTATTTTATAAAAGTGCAATTCGTCTTTTCACAAAATACTTAACTGCAAGAAAGGCTCTTGCACTTGTAGAATAATATTAGATTTTACTGAGCTTTTAATGCAAATATGTTAGTTGAGGAGACTTTAGTACGATTCTCCCTTTTTTTTATTGCAAAGTCTAGAAAGGAAAGATTAAATTATAAATCAATGTATACCCCTGTGAATGTTAAATGCACATTGGTTATAATGAAGTAAAAGCCAAAAGCTCGCAACGATACTTCCTCCATCATAACTTATAAAGTTATTTTAAACAAAATCATGCATAAAAATAAAGTCTATTAAATACACTCTACAACTTTTTTCAAGATAAAAATATTAATTTTTTAAAACATCCTTAATTTAATATAAACATTAAATAAAGAGGGAATATAATAAGAAGGAAACAGCAACATTGAAAAGTATGTTTAATGAAAATTTATTTCATCAAATTATGTTATATTTTGAGTCAGTAAATCTCCTCTAAAATTATCTTCTAAACTGAAATGGGGAAGTACAAAAATAGAGGGAATGTTGAGTTATAACAAATTAAAACTCAGTTTTATATAAAACCATATTTTTAAATCAACTTTATTATACTATAAATGTTAATTTTACTTAAAATTATGTTTATAAATTAATTTTATTCAAACTCAATTTTATCCGATAACAAACAACGAAGTCATATCGGATCTATTTGCAATCTCTATTTTTGACAGTCAAAGCATACCAAAAATTTCTTACAACCGACGAAAGGACGCTACCAGCGGCGTTTTCCAGCACAACGTTGATCGATGCTTTTAACTCTGGATGGAGATGAAGTATTTAAATCCGACGCTTTTGGTTCATCTCATCTAAGAGACATTAAACCATTCAATCGGCCATCAACAAATTATTGCTCAAAGCCTCAAATGCCCAAGATGCGCTGGTAAAAAAAAAAAATTGCAAAAACAAAATGCTCGAGATGCGTGGCCCACATACTAGCCCCACTTCACCAAGTCACGAAGTAATACTATTTATTTGGGATGGAGATATGTTTACACTCAAGGATGGGTATTTCAGGTGCTACAACAATCGCCATATTAAAAATTTTGTCATATAATATTTATAACATATTAAATTTCAAATTCGAAGAGGAGATATTATATATAAGAAATGTTCTAATAATATAGATTGATTTGAATTTTGTAAAAAATATATATTAATAATTTTTAAATATTAATAAACTCCAATAATTATAATTGAACCACCTATTAAAAGTGAGTAGATTCAGACCACTTTCATCATTTTCTACAGCGAGAGCTAAGGGAAGTAATAAAAGCCATGGAGTTGATAAAAACTTATACAGAATTAAGGAAAATTACATTAGAAAATATAGTAAAATAATCTGTTGGCAGGTCTGCACAGAGAAGGTGCAGAAAGAAGACGTTGGTCTCCTTCTGCAAGTTACAAAGGGAAAAAGTATGGAGTGATGGATTGTCTAATTGCCGCAACAGATTGATACTCGTGAACCAGCAGGCGTATTTCACAATATTTTTGCGGCTCTCCCCTCTTTCAGTTTTCGCTCGCACAAATTTCGAACATAAAGATAAGTAACGGACCATTGTTGTTGCAACTGAAAGGTAGAAGGTTACTAGATTGGTGCAGTCAGGAGAGTATGAACAACATGTTCACTTGAAAAGATGCTTGAAACTGCTCTGATAATATATGTGTATATATAAACACACATATTATGGTAGGAATAGTAGTGGGTCTCCAATCTACACAAGAAAAAATGAAAAAGTTTTCGTCCACTGGCAGGAGATAAGAAAGTGGAGAAGAGTGGGAACGCACGAGAGGAAAGGAAAATAATATCTCCTTTCTGATAATTAGCTGTTTAAGATCCACTATCCTCCACTCTCTCTTTCCTCTGCTTTGGGATCAAATGCAATAATTCCATCATGCAGACCAAACGCCTACCTCTTCCTTTTCTCACACTCTGCACAAATTGATTCTACTGTTGCAAAGGGCCTTTGGTAAATTAAGCTAGGTTCTCTCTTACGTTGCTCTCGTTCAGTTCTCCGGAGATCCTGAAAAAGAAGCTAGCATGAGGACGTTCAGAAAATATCTCGTTGTGATTCTCTTGGTTCTTATTCAGGTTCTCTGCGGTGAGTCCCTGGCAAAAACGGAGAAGAAAGAGGACCAGAGAAGTACTTACATAGTTCACTTGGCCAAGTCCGAAATGCCACAGACTTTCGAGCATCATTCAACCTGGTACGAGTCGTCTCTGAAATCGGTGTCTCAATCAGCTGCAATGCTATACATCTACGACAACGCAATCCATGGATTTTCAACCAGACTGACTCCTGAAGAAGCTCGCTTACTCGAGAGTCTACCCGGGATTCTAGCCGTGTTGCCGGAGACGAGGTACGAGCTACACACAACTCGAACCCCTGAGTTCCTCGGGATTGATAAAATCGCCGACTTGTTACTTGAGTCTAAATCGGATGTTGATGTAATCATTGGAGTCCTAGACACTGGTGTTTGGCCCGAGAGCAAGAGCTTTGACGATACAGGACTCGGACCCATCCCAATCGGCTGGAAAGGCCAGTGTGAAACGGGCACTAATTTTACTACCTCAAATTGCAATAAGAAATTGATTGGGGCCCGGTATTTTGCAAATGGCTATGAGGCCGCGATGGGTCCAATCAACGAAACTCAGGAGTCTAAATCGCCACGAGACGATGATGGCCATGGAACCCACACTGCGACTACAGCTGCAGGTTCGGCAGTTGAAGGTGCCAATTTATTTGGCTATGCTTCAGGAACGGCGCGTGGTATGGCTACCCATGCCAGAATAGCTGCCTACAAAGTTTGTTGGTTTGGAGGTTGCTTCAGTTCTGATATATTGGCTGCTATGGACAAGGCCATTGACGACAACGTTGACGTGCTTTCTTTATCGCTCGGAGGCGGAGTAGCCAATTATTACCAAGACAATATAGCAATTGGAGCTTTCGCGGCAATGCAGAAAGGGATTTTCATCTCCTGTTCTGCGGGAAATGCTGGCCCCAGCACATCTAGTCTTTCCAATGTAGCGCCATGGATTACTACTGTAGGAGCTGGCACACTGGATCGAGATTTTCCGGCTTACGTCAGCTTGGGAAACGGAAAGAACTATTCAGGGGTCTCTCTTTATAAAGGTAATGCTTTACCCGATTCTCCGCTACCCTTTGTATACGCTGGCAACGTGAGCAATGCCACCAATGGCAATTTGTGCTTGATGGGTACCTTGACGCCGGATAAAGTTGCTGGAAAGATTGTGTTATGCGATCGTGGACAGAATGCTAGGGTGCAGAAAGGATTTGTGGTGAAAAAAGCTGGTGGGTTGGGCATGGTGTTAGCTAACACCGACGATAATGGCGAAGAACTGGTGGCCGACGCCCATCTATTGCCTGCGACGGCGGTAGGTAAAAAAGCCGGCGACGCCATAAAGACTTATATCGGGTCCAATACAAACGCAACGGTGAAGATTTTATTTGAAGGAACAAAGCTAGGAATTCAGCCATCACCGGTTGTTGCAGCGTTTAGCTCCCGGGGTCCCAATGACATCACGCCTCAGATACTGAAGCCCGACCTCATCGCGCCAGGAGTTAACATCTTAGCAGGGTGGTCAAAATCCGTGGGTCCTACCGGATTAACCGTCGATCCTCGGCGCGTGGATTTCAATATCATATCAGGCACGTCCATGTCCTGTCCTCACGTGAGCGGGATAGCTGCTTTGATCAAGGTGGCTCACCCCGAGTGGAGCCCGGCAATAATTCGATCGGCTCTCATGACTACCGCCTATACAGCTTACAAGAACGGTGATAAAATGTTAGACAGTGCTACAGAAAAACCATCGACACCGTTCGATCATGGCGCTGGACACGTGGATCCAGTTTCAGCCCTTAATCCAGGACTCGTGTATGATGTGGCATTCGATGATTATTTGGGTTTCCTCTGCGCGTTGAACTACACAGACGCACAAATCAACACCGTGGCAAGAAGAAAATTCCAGTGCGACGCAACCAAACAATACAGTGTAAGTGACCTCAATTACCCTTCATTTGCTGTGGTATTTAAATCGGGCGGTAGGACCAATGTGGTTAAACACACGCGGACTCTCTTGAACGTGGGGGCAGCTGGAGCGTACAATGCCTCGGTGACTTCGGACACCTCGTCCGTTAAGATCTCAGTCGAACCCGAAGTGCTTGGTTTCAAGGAAAACGAGAAGAAATCTTATACGGTGACGTTTACGTCTCTAGGTTCATCACCGAAGAGTCGAAATGCGTTTGGTCGCCTAGCATGGTCCGATGGGAAGCACGAGGTTGCGAGCCCGATCTCATTTAGCTGGGGCACTTAGCCAGAAGAAGGAGGGTGATCACTCTCAATCGCACAGGATTTGCTTTATGTTAGCTGTTTTATAAGTATCCAGATGGAAAATTGTGAAAGCTGGAAGCCTAGCGTCCTTGGTTAGTTGGTTTGGAGTCTGACCTGTGAGAAACAAAGAGGAAAAATAGATCGGCTCTTGTTTCTAAATCCAATTTATAATGTTCTAATTTTTAATCTTATGAAAATGCATCCATTTACGGTGCTGGGTCTTCCTTAATAGTTGTATTCTATTTCTTTCCCTGCCTAATTTTATGCTAGCTGTCTGAATCCACTGATAAACGTATGCGAGTGTATACTTGCCGAAGACATGATGAAGTCAAGGCATTGCAGATTAAATTCCTAATTGATGGGCCCATAAAAATAAAGGATATAATCCAGCGTATTGGTCAACCAAGAACATTGGATAAACTAAGAGGAAGCGCAACACAACACGTGGAGCGCTTACGATTTGGGAGAAAAGAAGGAGGAGGTTATGATTGTTGACTGCATGGAGTCGGCTTCTTTTTACTGAGGAATCCTCCTCTGCCTCTCTACCGAGACTGAGAAAAATTTCAATCATCTAAATTTAATTTAAACGATTTAAATTAAATAATTTTTATTATTATTTTAAATTTATATTTTTAAAATAAATTTTTTTAATAAATATATTTTTTAATTTGATAGTTTAAGTTTAATATTGATAATTTAAATTTAATATTAAAAATTTTAAATATTTTTTAAATATCTTTTAGATAGTGTAAATATATTTTAAATAGAGTAATAAATTAAAAAATTTTAATATTAAATTTAAACCATTTATATTAGATCTGGACTTTTAGATTGGTAAATATACTTATTAAATTTTTTATACAATCTTTATTTATTTATTATTTTAAAAAATAAAAAATAAAAATATGTAATCTGGACCATCTAAACCAGAATGATCCAAATTTTTCTTTAGCCCAGTGAAGAGGCAGAGGAGCTCGTGGACCTGAGTGGATGGGAACGAAAAGCTTGTAAAATTTGCCACTCATTTCGGAAGTCCCTCCCGAGTCGCCACGTGCGCAGAGGATTGCAGAACTAGAGAAACGAGAGGATGGCGTGTGTATATAAATACGAAGAATGAGGGGAAACCACATGAAGGAAAAACGATGGAAAAGCAAGAGGTTAGGAGGAGCGATGCAAAAGGGGAAGCAGGCGAGCGAGGTCTTGAAGGACTTCCGATGCAGGAGAGTCCGTACGTGAAATACAAGGACCTGGAGGATTACAAGCATCAAGGTTACGGCGTTGAAGGCCATCTCCAGCCTCAACCTGGTCGAGGAGCTGGTGCTACTGACGCCCCCACTCTCTCTGGTTCTGCTGTTTCCTCTGAGGCCGAATCGAAAATCGTCGATGCCGCTAATCGTCAAGGAGCCCTTTGATTGAGCTCCTTTCTTTCTTTGTTTCATAATATGAATCAAACACCTTGATTACTTCTCGTGATTTGTTAGGTTTCACTCTTATAATTTGCTTTTATATACCATCTTTTATTTGCTCTATGACAAGGTGCGTATTGCAATAGAGCATCTTTCAGAGTCAGATCAGCGATCGTAGGATAGTCGGTGAAATTGAAGGCATCCAGATATCTTCCATGAACTCAAAACAAACCGCACTCTGTTAGGGAATTAGTGGATATATATTGAATCAAATTTAAGTGACCCTCCTTCCACTTGTTCGTCTTGAACTCAGGCATACATGTATTTCTGTTTTGATCAAATGATGCATATTATATAGATTGAACCACATTATATGATATGACTACCAACGATTACTCTCAAGAATTAATCAACAGCGTTTTGCCGTAAGTTTTATCGAATCACGGAAAAGTTTAGATTTGGATCCCTTAAATGTTATCCCGTCTCTCGCTAAAGTCATCTCTTACGACTTACATCTGGCACGAGTTCAGAGTCTAGGCTGACAGTATCATATTTCGAGATCGAGCCGCACGGATCAGCTGCGATGTTAAACCGGCCCTAGTGGTGATTTGGTTGGGCCTTTTAGATTGTTTAACGTATTCCGTACCCCCTTCTACCATTGGATTTGTTTGGAGACAAAGGCAAGTGCATCTTTGTGTAACTGTAAATGCTAAAAATCTTTCTAGAGGATGAATATCAGCGATCTAAATCAGTTTGTTCCTAGGCTTTCGGCTTCGTGCAATTGATGAGTAGACTCGTTCTTTTTTGATACAAACAAGATGACCCGTTCTGATTTAGATAATAAAATATGATGTTGGTTTTTTCGAAGGGGGACTGTACCGGACTAGTATTCAACGTGAAGATTAAAAATAAATTTTACTTTAATCCAAGTATTTTAAAGATTTATTTACAAATTATATAAACATAGCTATCTTTGTTTTTCATGATTCTGTTCTAAGGGTATGTTTGGGAGTATGATAGAATAGAAAAAAACGGATGAAATGGATGTGATAGAATGGGATAGAGTGAAGTGAAATGGAATAGAACATTTCAGGGAGTTTCATTGAAAGAATACATGATTTTATTTAATTATTATTTAAGAATAAATTTTAAAATTAATAGATTTGATTAAGATATAACTATATTTTTTAATGGGTTAAAGTGCAAAAATACCTACCAAATTATTGGCTAGGAGCATCCACTAATTAAAGTAAGAAAAATAACAAAAATACTTATGAAGTTATCAAAGTTGGTGTAAAATTGATTATTAACTTATCCTAACACCATTAATTTTCAATGTTAAATGTTTATTGCGCTATTAACTGTGCCTGTCACATGTCAATTTTTATTGACGTGGATTAAAAAGGAGGCAAAAATATCACGAAGTAGTTTATTAGGATCATCCAGTAGTCTAAAGTGAGAAAAAGAACATAAATACCCATAATGTTACTTTAGTAGATGCAATAATAATCAATTTATCAAATTCTTTAAATGTTGACCATTAGCTTACATTTAAATAAAAATTGACTATTTGAGGATTTAGAACATTATTGTTAATGAAATCACTTAAGGTTGTGCCAATGTTTTTAAGGTAGGTAACCTGAGAGATGTGTGTAGTCACGAAGGCGTTACGAGTAGAGACAACCTCCTTCATGAAGTGCTTGCATTCTTTGCAATGAGTCACAACCTCTTCGTTTTTGATCTTTCCTATACCATTGTATTGAATCTCAAGTTTTGTAAATAAGAAAAATGAGTGGAGAGAGAGGGAGGAAAGGGGTGGGATACATGATAATGGAAATAAATCGTGTGGTATGAATTTTAACAGACTGGTCACTATTACATGTAATAAAGTAACATTATGGATACTCCTACCCTTTCCTCACGTTAGGCTACTAGATGTTTTTGATTAACGACTTTGTATGTATTTTCGCTCCATTTTTTAATCCACACCAGCAAAATTGACATGTGATAAGTACAGTCAACATTTAACATTGAAAACTAATGGTATTAGGGTAATTAACAGTTTGGTCACATTTGCATAAAGTTTGATAACGTTATAAATATTTTTGCCATTTTTCTCACTTTTAAACTACTAAATACTCTTGGTTGACCACTTGATAGGTATTGTTGCATTTTAACCCTTTTTTAATGTTAAGGTAAGGGTGGGTAAAGGAGTGAGAGGGAGCGAGAAAGACAAGGATAATTTTGCAAAAAATCTTATTTATATCATATCATTTTAAAATTTCATCGAGTTAAAAAAATGAGTTTAGGATAGCAAGGGATGGCTTGAAAAGCCATTTCACTTTCTTTTAAAATTTTCTCTCAAATAATAGCATAAAACTTCTAGCCATTCCATTTAAAAGAAAAAAACTCACAAACATTACCTAAGTCCTAACTTCCTTTCATCTACTATTTGCACCGTCTCTTTTCAACAATTTTCCTAAAAAAATGCATCATGGTTTTTTTGGAGATTTATTCTAAGATCACACTCAACATAATTAATTATTCTCTGTAAAAATCTTTTCACATCATTCCCTTGCTAGAAACTACTTCTACACAATTGAAGCATCAACGCTTTCAGATCATCTTAATATTTCACCCTCTCTCTTTTTCCTTTATTGGATGATCACAATTATGGGTTGTAATAATGCTCCTAGTAGTGCAACAACTAAATATGTGTTTGATTTTTAATTTATCAAAATTTTATTTGTAAAAAGTTTAGTTGACAAAAGTCAGTTATTATAACAAAATTTAAATATAATTTTTTCAAAAATTAGTTACCAAAAGTTGTTTAGATTAATGATAATTTATATTTTTAAAATATTTTTTTGAATATATAATCACCCAAAAGGACACTAATTTATGATAATTTATAATTTTTGTTATACAAATATAATATATTAAAAAATTTTAAAAATGTGAAAAAATTTAAAATAACATAAAATTTAACATGTTAAATAATAAGAATAAAAATATAAATTTTGATATGTTAAAAAAATCATATAATAAATAGTTCAATATACATTAATATTAAAAATTAACATGATTAAAAAAATATGATACATTTTTTATTGAAAAAAATTAACGAACTAGGCATATCTTTGTTGGTTAATAAAAATTATAAATAACATAAAATTTGATAAATTGAATAATAAAAGTATAAAACATAAAATTTGATTTATTGCCCAAAAAATTTATGAATAGTTGAATACAATGCTAAAGGTTAATATAATTAATTATTGAATGTATAATGTTAAAAACATAATCTCTAATTATTATTATTTAAATGATTATTATATTTTTAATGAATTAACAATATTTTTAAATAAAAGAATAGTAGACCTCATTCTCTAAATCCACTTTTCAAAAGTTTCATCATTTTATATTTACCAAATTTAATTTTTATAACATTCTCAACATATTTTTAGAATGCACTTTTATTTCTTTATTTTTTTTCAAACAATATCCCTCATCCCAAAAAAGGGAAAATATTTCCCAAATGGAAAAATATTTCCCAAATATAAAAAATGAGTTACCCAAATACACCTAAATTTTCTTATTCTTTTTGCATCGGTGGGTTTTGGGTTTTTTAACATATTCTCCGGTGGGATGGTGGGTGAGAGGGTTATTATTATTGAATGAGTGAGGGAAGGCAAGATATACAGAAGGACAAGAATAATACGTAAGAGTCACCTAAAAAAAATAGGGTACCTTTATTATAAATACTACACTATTTGGTTCCAATGTAATTATTCTTTTTTATATATAATAACGGGATGAGATTTTTGTTTTGATTGTGAGAAGATAACAAGGAAATAAAAAATGGAAGTGAAAATAAGCACATGCAACGCAAGTGCGACATTATATAAATTTATTTATGTCTATTATTATTTATTAATACTGATAATTCATGATGATACATTGATGAGTAGTAAGATAAAGACATACTACTCCCAGAAAATAATGTTTAGTTTTGTAAACCAAAGGATGGATAAAAAAAAAAATCTATGAACAATTTTTACATTACGGTACGGTAGTTGACGGATTTAATATCTTTGCATTGCATGGCTGCGAGTTTGCTGGATTTAATCTTACGGGATTAATACGAACTCGGCAGCTTGTAACACTCACATATCATTTAAATCACACACACGCCTTTAAAATCTCAAGAGATATCAATCTAAAGGATACTTCTAGTCTAGCACCTAAATAAAAAACATTTCGCCTAATTTTTTTTTGGTTGTAGAAAAAAATTCACACATGCCTTTGTTAGATATTGTTCACATTTTATGATATTCTGAGATAATTATAAAAAAGTTCAAATTCTAAATCTCAAATTATATTCTTTTTCTCTGACCTTAATCAAGAGAATTAGCTGTTACTCTATATTCATATCTTATAAATTTAAAACATTTACTTGGCTTGGGTTATGAGCTTCAATTGTAAACTTGTTAATGTCCCACCAATTATAGCGGAGTTGCTCGCCATTATTCATGACCCCGACCTGTGTTGGACAAATGGTTAGGTTTGCACATAGTGGATATCTATTGCAATTGTATTGAGGTTATTATGTTGATAACCAAAAGTTGCGATGAGTCACATCCTTTTAAGGACTTTATTGATGAGGCATGCCTTTTATATAACATGGAAGTAAACTTTATACCTTGTGTGTTGTATGAGAAGTTAATTTTATGTATGTTGAAATGTGAAATTAGATTGTAAATTTGATGACGTTTGAAATGTATAAATGTTTTGGCCTGTTAGCATTAAGATTTGATTTTTATAGTTTTGTTTTTGGATTGTCATAATTCTTGAATAATGTTGTTGCAAGAGATACGTTGAGCTATGTGATTTTAATGGTGCGACAAAATAATTTTGGAATAATATTCCATGAAGTAATAAGAGGAGGAAGAACTTAATAATATTGTATGCATGATAGAAGCTATCATTTAAAATATATAGGAAGGATGAAGAACCTAAAATTAGCTTCCCTTGGTTTCAAAATTCAAAGTTTTCGAATCATGAAAAGTAATTTAATTCTTGCGTATACTTCAATATTGTCATATATAGAAAGTGATAATTTGCATGGGAGTTGTAACTATTTATAAAATTGACAAAAAGAGAGAGACAAAGAGAAAGACAGAGAGAAAAACGGAAATATTACATTACAGGAAGAAGCTGGAAGCCTGTCCGCATTTAGGCTTTTGAAATTTTTTCTCTTTCTCTTGTCAAATTAGTTTGGTTTGCTTTGTGAAAAACTTTATCTGCAACTCATAAGCACATCATCACTTTCCATGATAGTATCTACATATACATGAGAATGAAATTATTTTCGGTCTTTGAAAGAATTTGAACTTCGAAGCATAGGGAAAATAATCTTAGCTTCTTGATCCTTCTATATATGATCCAGATGCTTGCCATGCGTACAATAGATTGGAGAGCTCAAACGAAGCCTCGTAATATACACCAAATAAAAGTCTACGAAATGTACATCTACTTTTCTTTTCTTTTTTTTTTTTTGGTATCTAATTGCTTAGTTGATATAAATAATATTTGTTTCAAGATGTATTCATATAGCTGCTTTGAAGATTTGAGAATTTTTTGTCAATTTCAAGCAGAATGAAAAATCAATTGAAAATAACTAAATATTTATGTAAATAGTCATAAATTCAAATATTATAATTGCAAATAAGATATTTAAATACTAAATATAACTCTTAGTTTACAATTGGGGTTCCTAATTGTAGCTGTTTCAATCAATATTTGTGACTTATTTTTTTTAAAAAAAATTGTTATCATAAATCCTGAGTTTTGGGATATTATTTTAATTCTGCCAATTAATCAATTATAGAAACTTACAATATAAGTTATGTGTTGTTACTGTACTCTGTACATGAAATACAACGTCAACATTTCGAAACTTGGTGGGATTTATATACAGCGCTCTTCCATGTCCTCATGTTTGTAATATAATACTTACAAATTCAGATCAACTACAAAAGTAACTTACAACTTATACTGTAACAATTTATAAAATGATGCACAACATGTGCTTATTCACAACTTCCATCTCTCATTTCATTTTCAAAATACCTAATAATATTTCTTCATGTCATTATTTCTCCAAAAATATTTTATCAATTTATTTAATTCTTATTTGTCAATTAACACTAAAAAAAACATAAACTTACAATATTATCAAGTTGCACCTCTTATTTCTTCATGTCAATTTTACTTCAAAATTATTTTATCATGTCATTAAGATCATATAAGTCAATAAATAAATTTTCCTACCATGTCTTTGTGATTAAGTTAATTTAACATATATAGATATCTTGTTTATTCTTTGAATTTATTGATGCAGTTATTTTCATAGTATTTTATTTTCCTAAAAGTATTATACATGTATGGATCAGATAAATTACTAATGAAAAAATATTTGTACTTTACAATTAAAGGACAATTTGAATTATAAGGATTTCATGCTCAATGTAAATCAGAAATGTTTTATAGGACTGGATATAGAACGCTAGTTGCTAACGATAGTTTTATTAGCCTTTGACGTGCCATGGCATACTTAGAGCTAGTAGGGTACACGTGTGACGGCCAACACACATGAAACAGAGAATGTAATTTTGTGGATATAATTCATGCCTGTTATTCGTGAGTTTTATACTTGCACCTTTTTTTTTTGTAGCTTCTAGCCAAGCTGAATGCTACTTATCTTTGTGAATTATGTGTTCATGCCTGTTATTCATTCTACTTAAGTTCTAACAAAAAACACATTTTTCAAGTTATATTTTCACTCTTAAGAATTTGTTTTTATAATTCTTTTAAAATATATGTTCTAATTTAGTGGTTGCCCTTCTCTATTGTCTCTTTTCCATTTTTGTTACTTAATTACCCAAGATAAATTGCACTATTATTTTCTAATATCATTGATAAATATATTAGTCACTTATTTCTTATTTTATATGTTCATGATTGTCATTTTTTTTATTATTATTATTATTTAGAGACGTTATTTACTGAAAAAATTTTTGATATTCAGATAATAAAAATTGACTTGTTTTCAGTAGACCTCATGAGACTCTTTGAGACAAGAAGTATTTTGTTGCTCTAATTAACTTGTGAAATAATGTAAATATTTAAGCATTTTATTTTTGTTTTAGAGTCGCTCCATGAATCATATAAGCAAGATTCTTGTTTAAAGTATTTTGATTTGAACATATTTATATACTATATTAGAGTAGAACTTCAAATGCTACTTGAATATTCTTTTTGGCTTGTTGTATAGATTTCGGGAAGTTCAACTTATAAAAGAGACTTTGTCGAAATTTCTACAGCAAGCTTGTATATTTTGTTCATATTAACGATTGCTTAATATATATTATGATTGTATTGTAAAATTGTAATTAATATGTTAGATGTGTTCAAGGTTTAGATTTATAGAATGTGAGTTTTTTTGTATTTCAATTGATCACACTTTGAAAGCTCGGGGTGTGACATCATGTTAATAGAAGTTCCAATATTTATATTGATCATTTAGCTAAGTTGTCTCATAATTTAAATACTCCCTCTAGTTCTATTTATAAGGCAAAGGGAGAATTTTTTTTGGTCCTATTATAAGTCACATTATTAAATTTTCTCATAAATTTTCTTTTTTACCAACCATTAATTGTTGGAGAGAAAAAATATATTATTGAAATATGTATATTTAATAGGGATAAAGTTGAAAACTTATTAAATTTTAAAATAGAGTTAATGAATTTTAAAGCTTTCCTTGATATTAATAAAATATGTTAAAAGTGACTAATAAATAAGATTAAAAGAGTATTAATTTTTGTACATTTGATTATCCCCATTTCTTTCCCAAGAGGTGGTAGATGATGCAAGCAATGAATTTAGATATTTGTTTTTGTTGTAATCTATTTGATTATGAATGCATTCCTTCCGTTGGGGCAGAAAAAAAGGAGAACACTTGGCTTTAAAAACAAAAAACAACAAAACAAAACACTTTTTTTTTTTGTTTACACATCAAATATCTTAAGCAAATCATCTTTTAAGTTCAACAATGGCCTAGACTAATTCGGATTCGCCCATGGTCAAGCACCTCAGAGGATGGGAGAGCTAGCCAGAGGATATTTTTTCATACCCAAGTAGAGATGGAACCCCTGACACTTGGTTAAGGGAGAATGAACCCTTATCACTCAACCACATGCCCCTGGTTAAAACAAAACACTTTGGCAGAATGCTGCCGGCTCCAAAGGCACAGTTTTGCCTTCTGTTCGTCAGGACACTGTGGTTGGGTGGCCAGCACTGTGTTCTATTTTCTTATTCTCACGTTTGGCACCACTGCTCTTTATATCCCGCTGGTCTCTCCCTGTGACTGTGTCTACTACATTAGCCTTACCCTGTCTAGTTTCTTTTGTTTGGCCAGACACATCCCCTATCCTTCCATCTTCATCCCACTCACTCTCATTCATGTTCCCTCCTTCCTCTGTCTCCCACTACTTTTCAAACAGAGCTCGTGCCTTTAATTTTCTGAGATGGCAACACACTGTGCCCAAGGAAAAAGAGAGGCTTCAAGCCATGTTCAAGTCCAAGCAAACGAGGCGGGAGCCTTGTCATCACTCTGTGACCTTCCCGTGAATTTGATCAAACAAGATGAACGGTCCAGAAAAGCAAATTCCCAGGTCCTTAATGAAGAATTCGATTTCCGCCTACGTTGGGGTCCCTTTTGCAAGGAACCAGAAATGTGTGCTGCAGATGAAGTTTTCTTTCAAGGCCAAATTCTCCCCTCACAGCTCAACGGCCAGAAATTCAACCGCCACAAATCAAGGTCCCTCGACTTCCTTGACCATGTTTCTCTGAGTGAGTCCAGGAGCAACAGCAGCAGAAGCAGCAGTTTTAAAAGTCAGAATTCATCAAATAGCACTAGCTCCACGACCATTCTGACCCCAAGAGTTTCGGAGTCCAGAGTCAAAAACCGATTTCACACTTGCCCAAGTCCCAAACCTCAGTTAAGAGTGCCAATTCCGAGACAAGCAAGTTTCGGTAATTTGGGTCGAAAATCGTCAACGTGGGACTTCTTCCGTCTAGGTGTGGTTCCCGTGCCTGAGATAGAATTGCAAGACCTTAAAGTTCGCGGTACCAAAAACACTGTCTCTCGCAATGGCAGCACTAGTAATAGTAGAAGCAATAGTGGCACCACTAAAAGTGGCAAAATGAGTACAAGTACTCATTATAGGGGTAAGAGCAGCAATCATGGTTTGAAGCAGTTTCTGGATAAAGGCGGTGGTTTTTTGAGTGGGTGTAAGTGTTCGGTTGAAACGGTGCCATTGGACACTGTCATTATCATCAATAGTCGCACTAAAAGCGCAAGAGAGACAGAAAGTGCAACGCGTGCCATGAAAGAAAAAGTAGCGATCGAGTTCGAGAATGAGAAGCAGAGAGAAAAGAAGGGAAAGAAGACTGTGTCGTCACATCGTCGTCGAACATTTGAATGGCTAAAGGAGCTTTCGCATGCGAGCTATCCTGATGAGGAGGCGGCTTTGCTATTGAACTCGTGAATGCGTTAGTGCATGGGATCGCGTGCCTGTGACCTATTTAGTTCAGGTTATGGTTGATGCCTTTGTTTTGCTTCTGTATTTGGATTGGTTTACAAATCCTATATTTTATATATTTTACTGGTGTAGTGTTGGCTGATATTTGCTAACAGAGGTTAAGGAAAAGTCTCGCTTTCTCGCGAGAATGAAGTAATTATCTAACTTCGTCGGTTTACCCTCCTTTTCTGCTGGGGAGCGTTTGAGCAGGGCCTAATTTAATATTGATTGTTATTGAAATTTTTTGATTTAGATATCGAATGTGAGATATGTGGCGCTGATGAGTGATGAGGATAAACTGATAAGCACCGTCGTAAGTGGCCCGAGTCGGCATGTCATCATCATGATTAAGTTGTGGATTTTGATGCTTTTCTAAGTGGTTGGCGTTGAGGGTTAAAGGAAAAAAAAAAAAAAAGCTGTAGAAAGCATGCAATCCCCCCCTTTTTATTTATACGTTATTTACAACATGTTTTAAGAATGAAAAAAATAAAATTTATTAATTTGATATAAATAATTGATAAGTTTTTAACTTTACTCCATTTAAAAAAATAAAAAGTAAACATACATGCTTTAAATTAAAGTATTTTCTCTTATCAGCATTTAGTATGACTAAAATGAGAAATTTATTGTAAAAAATTAATAAAAAAACTTATAAATAGAGCTAAAAAGATTCTCATTCCTCTACCTTGTAAATACTATCAAAACGAGTATAGTAAAAAAGGTGGTTTGACTTTTTATTAAAATTTAAATAAAAATTCAAATAAACCAATGAGTATAATAAAAAAAGGCTTATAGCCAGTTTGGTTGGATGCAGTGCAACGGAATTACCTGTAATTCTGATGCATTATATGATTTCAGCTGTTTGGTTAGCACTAAGTAATATAAAGGGGATTATATCATACACTGTAAAGAGGATTACATCAATAAACCTATGTAATACCCATTACAACCACATTTTATATTAAAATACCTTTCCTCATATAACATACCAAACAAACACATGTAATGTTCATTACATTACATTCTATTCCCTAACATTACATTACATTACATTCCCTCCGATTCTTTGAACCAAACGGACTATTAATGAAATTTAAAATTATTCTAAAGCTGTGTTTGATTTGAGGAGAGAAAAGGAGAGGAAGGGATGAAGAAAGAGGAGAGGTTTTAATAAACTTTTGTTTGGTTTAGAAAGAGAGGGGAGGGAAATAAAAATAAAGTTAATAATTTTATTCCTATCAAATTTAACTTAATTTTTATTTTTTACTTTGAAAACTATTATATTATAATTTATTAATTTTTTATTTTAAGAATATAAAATTATATTAATAAAAAAATTTGAAGAAAAAATACATTAATATTATATTTTAACAATGAATCTAATGAAATATATTAAAATTTCATACATTAAAAATTATATATTAATTTTTGTAAGGTGATAAAATTTATTATATTATAAGAAAGAAAGAGAGAGGGATAATACATAATTTTTTAATATCAAAGATAGTTCAAAATTTTTAAAATAAATTTTAATTATTTTCTCTCTTCTCTCCCCTCTAAAAAATCTCAAATTGAAGGAGAAGGCTCTCTCTTCTAATTTTTTAAACAAACAAGGGGCTCCCTTCCTCTCTCTTTATTAGACACTAAACAAATAAAGAAAGGACAGCAACTTTCCTACTCTCTCCTCCAGAAACTTTCAACCAAACATACCTAATGACCTAAAAGTTTTGTTTGCAATTATATTTTTGGATGAAATGACCCCCTTCCAAAAATCTACTAACATGTTTGACTCTATGATCTCTTCTTCTTCCTATCTTTTTTTTCACCCTTCTATCTCTCTCTTCCTTTGCCCCTTCCTTCTTCTTCTTTCCTTTTCTCCCTTTAACCAGAATTATCGTCTTCAAAGTTTTGGGATGTGATGTATTCACTGTGTAATGTCACCCTCATATGTTTATACTTTAAAATTTAATTTTCTATTATTTATTTTTAATATTATAGTTTATGTTTTTAAAAAATGTGAAATATTATAATTAAAATTTTAAATTTTAAAAAAATTTTAAAAAATAAAAAAATAATAGAGGGCTTATAAGCTAGGTCTTGAGCCCTTTGAATAAATGCCAGACTTCAAAAATTAGATAATTTTTGAAAAACTGGGCTTAAGGACGAAGCCTATTGGGCTAAGCTTACCTATTTCCCACCTTTATATATGATATGACAATGTTTATTTATTAATAATATAATATCCATCTATATGGCACACCTAAACATTGGCGCAACTCTAACATTTTTACAAACATAAATTTTGTAAATAACAACATGCTTTTCTTGAAATAATAAGAGCGATAAGAGCATTTATATTAGATTCTAATTGCATTTACATTTTGATGTTTCTATTAGTCAGGTCATTCTCTCATTTTTGTTTTCCTCTGACAACTAGTATAAGGTTCCCTCTCCCCTTTATAAAGAGCATCTTAAATTAGAACTTAAATCATTACACTAACTATGGTTAATCAAAGACTAACTTAAAAGGATTATCCAATATGAAATTAACCTAAATAAATTCTTAACATATATTTTCACAAACGATTCAAAATAAAGGGATCTCAAGTCTTAAAAATATTTTAAAAACTCATATCATTCAATTAGACATATGCGAAAGCATGATAAAAGAAACACATTAACATGGAAGAAAAGTTTCCCCCTTTATTTTCTCTCTATGCCTTACTCCACAATACATATCTACATATTTACAATATAACACTTGGCTACTCAAACTCTTCCACAACTGGCAGTGGGAGGTCAAGGTCTCAATCACATATATCACAATGACTATTACTTAGTCATCATACTCTGTATATTATCTATTCATCAATAACTCATCATATGCATAAATTTTTCTTTTCATTCACATATAATTAATATCAACTATTCACCTTTGAACATAAAAAACACAAGAGAAAACCATAACAATATTTAGATTCTCAAATTAAGCAGATAATAATTATTTTTATTTGTACAAATATTTTGACCCATTAATATAATACAATCATCAAACCACATTTTCAAGAGCTTAAAATACATTTTCACCTAATACAAAACCCATAATGTAAGTGGATCAAGAATATATGATCCTCGTTTGCAATATTATAAACTAAATACACTTATCAAAATAAAAAGAAAGGCCTACAAGAGTGATTATTATCACTTGGCCTAACGCTCCTTTCCTCTGTTCTTTCCATATGAGCTAGCTCCTATAATATGTTAACAGAAAGGGGTGAGTACAACCACTCAATAATGAATGTACATATAAGTTATACAAATGCATGATCATTAATCATAAATGCAAGTGGCTAATAAATATATCAAGGTGACCATGTAAATAACAATATTAATAATACGTTAATCACATTGATATCTAACTCATGGAAGTAATCCTAAAAATAAAATCAAGTACAAAGTTTGCACAAATGGCCACATATACATTATTCATATAATTACTACATGTTCTTATTTTCACAATTATAATTATATTTTCAATATAGTCATCAATCACTCAAATGAAATAATAATAATATGCATGATCAATTTTTTTCTTATATTATCTTCTATTTCCTCTAATAAGAAATTCGTAGGCCAACAATTGAAAGGGATCATCCATGTGGTGAAACTACCTAAGGCTTTAATCATATCGTGAGAGGCTACTGGGCTAAGATTACCTTATTCACTTATGAACACAATTTTTTCAAATCACACACTATGGGGTATCATACCCAAAACTAACTCTACCCAAAACTCCAAATAGGCCAGTAGGGTCAAGTTCCTTAATAGAAAAAATACTACAGTACCTTACAAGGTAAGTAGTAACTATAACCCCTAGAATTATTGATTAACAGCCAAGTACCATATGGACTTTGCATAACTGCTAACTTCTTCGCTACGAAGAACTCTCGCCATATGATCATACTCATGAGAAAATGCATTTCAGAAACTTATATATATATAATTCATAATTATCCCACATGCTCATCAATTTTTTTGCTCAATAAGTATCAAGAATCATCATTTTTCAATCATGCATCTTGTATCAATTTTATATTATTACATAAACCACATCAGTGTCATATAAAACTCAATACGCTCATATACAATTTATCACTATGCATAATCCACAATTTATAATCAAGAGTGTGCACATCATCATTAGCCATCAATCTCGTTACTCACATTAAGTCACAATTAACTAGGTCACAAATTATAGGGTCTCAACAAAGCCACATGCATTACAAACAATCATTTAAAATTTAGATATATATATATATATATATTCTTTTGTTTCACTAACATAATTAATTAATTAATATAAAAATGCATAAAATAAATTTTTCTCGATTACCTCAACCTTTGAGAGGTCAAAGGTTACCCCTCAAGTTACAATACTTTCAAAGCTTGAATGGTGTCAAAAAAAATTAATTTACAATTGATCATATTTCAATGTGTTAATAATATTATTAACATAATTTTCACTCACACTCTAATGTCTAAGTATTTATTTTATTTCATTTCATTTTTTAAGACCTTACTTTTAGTTTCTTGAGTCTTAAAATTTAATTTCATGTATTTGAACCTATCTACTTAGTTCAATAGCCTCCTTTACAATAATTTATTGAAGTTTGGCTAAAAACATCATTCAAATAATTTTCTAATATCAAAATTTTCCTTTTTATTCCAAAAATTTGCACATAAAAATACTCAAAAATTACAAACTTGATCTCAAGCCCAGAATTATTATTCTATAGCTATAATAATTTATTTTTTATCTCAAATAATCATCTAAATATCAATAAATTAATATATATTTTTAAATTTAATTAAAAATCTACCCACAAAGATCTAGGGATAAACTCAAAGACTTTAAATTTCAATCTTATCAATAAAATAATACTTTAAATATTTATTACACTATCAACAATCTCAATAACTAGATTTACTCATAAAAAATTTATCCCTCTTTTAAATATTAAGTTTTTTTAAAATCTCAAAATCTACAATCTCACAAGAAAAAATGACTAAAAAAATATTTAGAACACTCATTTAATATTAAAATACTTAAAATCTCATTTAAAGTATTTTATTATAGAGTTTCACCTTCTAAATTAACTCCAGTCGTGGCGTTG